CTTTCTGCTTTTTAAAAATATTTATTTTAGAGACAGGGTCTCTCTATGCTGCTCAGACTGGACTTGAACTCCTGGGCTCGAGCAATAGTCTCTACGCAGTCTCCTATGTAGGCTGGGACTATAGGCATGTGCCACCATGCCAAACCTGCTTTTTTTACACTGTAAATTTTATTTCCTTGTTTTTATATACAACATATAGGGCATTATATATTTTTTTCATTTTTAATAGACATTTTGGATCAGTTTTACAATCACGGCAAAACTGAGCAGAAAGAAGAGAGTTCCCATATACTTTCTCTTCTCACACCCTCACACCATCAACACCTGCAGCAGGAGTGATACATGTGTTAAAATTGATGGACCCACAATGAGACACGATTATCACCCAAAGTTCATAGTTTATATTGAGATTTACTCTTGGTGTTATAGATTCTATGGGTTTGGACAAATTCATAATGATATATCTCCACCATTGTAGCATTATACAGAGAGTGGTTTCTCTGCCCTTAAAGTCCTCTGTGCTCTGTCTGTTCGTCCCTCCTCCCTAATCCCTATCAGTGATAGTTTTACTGTTGCCATAGTTTTACCATTTCCAGCAGGCCATATAGTTGGAATTCCACAGAATAGCAAAAACTATCACAAAAGACTCTATAAAACTGCAAGCTGGAACAAAATTTTTTTTATGCAAACATACATTAAAAAATACTTCTGTGAGGACATCTGTCCAGCCACTGCCTATTCAAACTTGAAATGGCATCACCCTCATTATTGGTCATTATAGCTCAGGATAATTATGTCAAAACAATTATGTAATCTTCCTCATTTTTGTTTTAAAAGATTTTGTCTTCCTTGGCCTCCATGCATATGTGCACAGTTTACTATATTTCCGTTGAACCGCCTCATTCCCGCATAAATACCATTTGCTTTCAGGCAGCCTCTCTGCTTGTTGTTGAGGCTGACACTGGCCACTGTAGGTGGAGCCTCAATTTGATCACTGGTCCCTACTCCAAATTTTGTCTCCATTTTCCCTAAACCACAGGTTTCTGTTCCTATAATAATCTAAATAAAGAATAGAAGAGTTCTACCCTATTGATATCTGTTCCTGATGACTTTTTTGTTAAGGTGGGGGTGTTTGGGAATGAGGTAAGCATTCAGATAGAGGAAGGAAGAGACTAAAAAAGGGCCGGGCGCGGTGGCTCACGCCTGTAATCCCAGCACTTTGGGAGGCCGAGGCGGGTGGATCACGAGGTCAATAGATTGAGACCATCCTGGTCA